GGCCGAAAGCCGCAAGCCACGTGCGTTGCCCGAAGCCCCCAGCGCAGGACAGCTGCATCGCACTGCCCCCACCCCGTCCCTTACCATGAAGACGAAGATGCTAATGCAGCACCAGCTCAGCACCATGTAGTAGCCAGTCTTCCCAAAGAGCAGCCCAGACACGAGGCCCACGATCATCCTGCCGACAGCACGAACTGGTGAGTGGGGCCAGGGCTGCATGCCAGGCACACAGGAGCAGCCAGCTTGGCCACAACCACCAGGCTCCCCCTCACCGCCTGGGCGCTCACCCCACGTATTTGTAGCCAGAGAAGGCGATGAGGTCGATGGTGGTGAGGTCGGTGTTCACGGTGACCAGGTAGAGGCTCAGCAGGATTGCCAGCACCTCCACGATCAGCCAGGCCAGGGCAGAGCTGGCCTGCAAGCCCAGGCTGTCAGGTGAGAACCTGCAGGTGCAGAAGGGAGAAAACTTGTTACTTGCGCCTCCAGCCAGGCGAAGCCTGTGAACCTTGCAAGGTCCCTGCTGCCACTTGCATCAGAGTGGCCTCTCTGCGCCGACCTTCTGTGCAAATCAGCCCTCGACGCAGGAGCCACTGGCTGTCATGCGCTGTTCTCACCTGTTCTGTGTGCCCAGCGCTAACCCGGCGACCAGGATGTACGTGATGAAGGCCATGACTGGGAAGAAGAACGAGAGCTGTCAGTGCACACCGCCCAGAGACCCTGAGCCTCCTCCACTGCAGAGCCACCAGTGCTGTGCCTGCCACGCTCCTCACACTGGCACTGGAAGGCACCGAAGGGCTGGGGCTGAGCTAAATTCAGCCCTTTAAAGCCTTTGGCTACAATATAAATGACCTGAAACAGGCAGACTGTGTTCACGTTAGCGCTGTGAAGTGCTAGGCTGGCTACACTCGCTCTGGAAAGGTAGAGACAATTTAGTGGGGATGCAAAAGGAGAGCATGGTCTCCTTCTCCTCCCTTTGCAGCAGGCAGCGTCCCATTGTCTCTAGGTACCAGACGTGTTCAGGACAGAGCCCGGCTCCTACTGAAGCCGAGCGCCCACCATCCCACCGGACTTGAGGTGGCCCCAGCAACCCCAAATGGTGCCGCACTTTGACACACACGTGGCCTCACACTGAGCCAGAGACGGGCTGAGCAGGAGCTGCCAGCCTGCACTGAGCAAGAGGGGCTGGCCCCACCGGGCAGGACGTACCTGGGATGTACAGATCCGGCGCGTTGACGTCGAAGCGGGGGGCCACAGGGGCATCCTGCTGGTACCGCACCTGCCAATCCTGCGGGGACGGTGCTGTTAGGGCGGCGGATGCCAACGCCCCGGCCCCCGGCC